GCAGCCTTCTCTTCTCCAGGCTGAACAAGCCCAACTCTCTCAGCCTGTCCTCATAGGAGAGGTGCTCCAGCCCTCGGATCATTTTTGTAGCCCTCTTTTGGACCCGCTCCAACAGTTCCATGTCCTTAAATCCGCCACTGGATGTCGAAAGTGGTGGCTGACATTGGTGCCAGGCCACTGCCTGTAATCTTTGAAAAGCAGTGGAGACGAGGGGATGTGCCTGGCAAGCGAACGAGGGCAAATGTCAAGGCTGGCCACAAAAAGGGCACAAAAGAGGACGCAGGAAACTACAGGCCCATTAATCTTACTCCAGTCCCTGGAAAAATAATGGAGCAAGTCCTCCTAGAAGTCATCACAAACCAAATGAAGCAGGTGACTGGGAAAAGCCGGCACGGATTTACCAACAGCAAATCATGCCAGACCAACCTGATCACCACTTATAACGAAACAGCATTTTCTGTCTACAGAAGCAGTGGTGGTTGTTTACCTGAACTTCAGCAGAGCGTTTGACACTGTTTCCCACAGCCTTCTCCTGATGAACAGGCCAGTTACAGACTGAAGAGGTCTTCTGTGAGATGGGTAGGCAACGGGCTCACAGGCCGCATGCAGAAGGCAGTGATCAATGGGTTTTACTCAGGCTGGCAGCCTGTCACAAGTGGGGTCCCTCAGGAATAGATACTGGGCACGACGCTGCTCAACAAGTTGCACCAGAAGAGGTTTCATCTTGATGTAAGAAGGAAACTTTTCACAGTGAGAACAATCAATCACTGGAACAGCCTCCCCAGGGACATGGTGGGGTCAGGATGCTAGATAATATTACCTAGGCTCTCTTTCCCACAAAGGGTTGGACCAGATGATCTTTTGAGGTCCCTTCCAACCTGGGCTGTGTTATGATTCTGTGAACACCTTCATAACAAGGTAATTATTAATGTTTGCATCAAAGTTCTGAAGAAAAGCATCTACCAGGGTTTTAATTATACATGGGGCTTGATCATACACATCAAGCCACCCTTCCTGGACAGTCATGATCCCCGTGTGTGTGACCAGAGCGATATCTGGGGAGAAAGCAGAGAAAAGGCCCTGGCCAGCACCGTAAACCCCTCCCATCTCTGATTAATGCTACCCTGCCCAGTGGCAGGTCTGGAGCTGCCATCCCTGTCCCCAGATGCCATTTTCTACCTCCTGACAGACCCTTTGGCTGGGGACACCGAAGCCAGCTGGCTGTTTCACAGTTTATTCATTCTCTCCGCTAGTTAATTAGAAAAGGTTATCCTTAAATTGCTTCCTGATTAAGCAGCAGTGACTGCCATTAGTCAGGAGCTCGTCAGCCTGAGAAAAACAAGGCAAGCAGCAAGAGTGAGGTGCGACTCAACACACAGTACAACCCTGGGAGTGCTGTTACTCACCCGGGAATCGCACACACACAGACGTGAGCATGCCACGTGCACACAGGCGCTCGCAAACACACCACTTCTAAAGAAAACCACAGGACTGAGGAGGTCCAGGGTTTTGCCCCAGCTTCTCTTAAGAAAAAAAGTAAAAGTTGAACCTTTTTCCAAATTCCAGGCCTGCACGCAGCAGAGCGGGTTTGCTAGGAAAGGATGCTCAGCCCCATGGTCTCTGTTCAGATCCTCTTCTGTTGCCCCTTCTTTCCCTGCAAGCCAGCAGACTCCAGCTGGCTATGCAGCAGAGGAAGAAAGGAACGGATGAGAGACCTTTTTTGTCTCCTTCTTGTCACACTTTCAACTGCCTAAAGCTAAACCAGGTCCCAGTGTCACATATGGGAGAGAGAGAGAGAACACGCAGAGCATGAGCCTGCAACTGTCTCCAGCCACCTTCTTCCTCCCAGCAGCTATCCAGTTGCAGGTCTCTGGTGATAGCTCTTTATGCTTTGGGAGATCGGGGGGTGAGGGGGAAGGAACTTGGGAAAAGTGAAGAAAAACCCCTATCGGGGACTGTCCTCAACTCATGAAAATTATGAGAGCAGAGCATCGTTTGCAGAGACCTCTTGGGTTGCATGGCCAAGCAGACACACAGACAGACGTTGAAGCATTTGCTCCATATGGCACAGCTTCAGCGAGGCACAAGGAACAGCCCAGCCATGCAGAGAACAGACCTACAAAACGAGAGGCCGTTTGTGAGCGGTTTGCTGGTAGCTCTCCAGGTGTCCTTTCAGTCAGAACATGCTTCCAGCAGTGGCTTGGACTCACCCTCCACGTACTGGGTCGGGGAGCAGAGATGCAGTACGAAAATCTTGGGAGGAGTGGGAGGGTTAGCACACATCAGCTCTGCTGCAGAGGAAATGGTTCACCCAATTCCCAAGAAACGCTGCAACTGCTGAAAAAAACTAAGGAAATGGGGTTCTCGGAGCTGTTCTTATCAGGATCTTTCCATCACTTGGATTGTGCTCTGAACATCTTGTCATGGGCTGGGCTGGCTGGGTCTGACTGCTGGCTACCAAATGAGGACAGAACTGCCTGCGTTGTACACCTTGTATAAGCAGCAGCTAATATCTGAAATATGAGTGACTCAAGACCCCAGAGCTATTCTGGAATCTCATGGGTTGTCCTCTGAGGGATTTTGAGCTGCTCTTAGGAGGTTCTACTGCTGTCGTATCAAATGTATTCACAGCACTCCACCACCTTGCCAATGCACCTTGGTGGTTCTCCACATGGACAGAGCTGGCCACCTTCATCCTGGATGTGTGGCCAGCTTGCACTCTCTGCTAGGGCTGAACTGCACGCAGAGCTGCTGTGTGTAGCAAGGCCATCCAACAGACAACTGGAGATCAGCCCAGGCTAATGGCCCTCTGATGCCCCAGCTTCTTGGAGGGTTTTGGTAGCCCACACTGAGCTCAGAGACACCATTATCAGTGCCCAAATGTGCCAGTCTTTGACCAGCTGTGGAGAACTTGTAGTGGCACCTTCTAAAATAAATTAATCCCATGCTCATGAGCCTTATCAGTTCCTTCCCAGCTAAAACCAGTCAAGTGGCTGGACTGGGGACGTGCAGGTCAGCTCTTCAGAGAAGGTCTTGGGGCAGGAGAGTCAGAGAAAGGCCCCTGGACTAACAGAGCTGCTTCTGGTTGGAGGAACTTTTTCTTGTGGGCTGCTAGGGTCTGACGTGAATACTTTTTACAGCACCTGTAGGCTGTGGGGTTGTGCTTCCTCTGCTCTGGTTTGGGGTCCTCGGCTGGGTCTAAGCTTCCTAAAGGGGAACAAGAGCCCTGCGCTTGGACGGCCGGGGGGTGCTTGGGTTTGGGGGAATGCTGACCCTGCATCCCCCTTGTACTGGTTCTCCTTGGATTTCTTTTCTCAGACAGCT